GCGATGCCCTTTGTTCCCAGAGACTGGACTCTGAACAAGTCGCGCGCAGGAGAAGCCAGGAAAGGTTGTCCACTTCCCATTGATGAAGGAGTTTTACCGGGCCATCCAATCTGGGCAAAAGACTTGGGAGTTCAGAAAGGCTTCGTCGTGGGCCAAGCGGATTCAGGGAGCCACTCACGCAGTCTTTCGTCTGGGACCTCCAGTTGAATTAGATTAATCTTTGCCTATTTGATGTGGCGTAGAGGATATGGGATTCACTTACTAGGCTCCAGTTTCTCTGGCCAACTTAGGCTACACGCCAGAATGCCTTGGGCCTGCCAAAATCTTGGAAGTAAGAACCTTGAGTGTAGCAGACGCTCGGGATTTGGGATGTCCAGTGGATAACGCAGTTCTTTTCGATGGTGAGATCATTGGAGTGCGCTTTGCCCCCTTTCAGGATACCATGTTAAAATAGCTAGACTTGCGTGTCAGGGTGTTTGGCGCATTTCATCAGGATGGACTGGACCGGATTGTGTCTCTTGTCCAACGCAGGACCGCGTGGTGGCAGCTGATGTTGCATTGGGGCCTGTGGCCACTCGAAAAGAATGCGACCTTGCTGCTGCTGCTACTGCCAGCGCCGCTGGAATAGCTGCTTCAGCCGTGCCTGGAACCATTGGAAAAACAGTTTTAACTGCAACGCTTTCTGGGGCACTAGCTTTGTTGGAGGCCATCGTAAGTAGCTTGAGGCCATGCTTCTAGGTTGGAGGCCATTCCTTCGAGGTTGGGGGCCATCGCTCTTCCATAGGAAGTTATCTCAGATTTTCGCAGCCCAGGAGCCATCTTTGAAGAGATGCCGGCTGAGCTCGCCTGGTTTGCATATGCTGCTGCCACACTGCGGCGCCTTTCAGCCACAGCTCTTCGAGAACTTTGACCCGTGTCCGGGTGTGCTTGGGGCTCCGAACCGTGGAGTGTTTCTCTCTTTGTATGGGGGGCAGTTCCCGTGTGGCCAAATCTTGGCAAGAGATGGGTCGAGAGGCGATCGTGCTGGATACGGCGCACAATGCTGCCAACGACTTGGGAACAAGCGAGGCGCATGACACGATTATTCGGATGCTTCAAGCCACAGATCCTGATGGAAAAGCTTTAGTGGGACTGCTTGGGGTGGAGCTCCCTTGCAATACCTGGAGCCTTTGCAGAGGGCGTGGACGGGGCCCACCTCGGTTGAGGGATTTGCGGCACATTGATGGGCTTCCTGGCTTGGTCCCCAAGAACTTGGAGAAGGTGGCCCAGGCAAACGCCCAGATCAAGAACGCAGTGGCTTGGATTCGTTGCAGCTGCGCGCAAGGTGTTCCCGGATACTTGGAGAACGGGCGCCGCAGTCTGATCTGGCATCATCCTTTGGTTTTGGAGCTCATTCAGGAGGGGCTTTGCTGGGTCTCTGTCCTAGATCAATGTCAATACGAGACAGAATACAGAAAGCGCACGCTTCTTCTGGTGTGGGGGGTTCCGGAGAATGCCTTTGACTTCCTACGATGCCGGGCGCCGAGGGGAATCTGCAGCCGCACTGGCCTGGCGCACCTGCACTTGGAGGGTGTTGACCAGAACGGACGTTTCAAGACCGCTGCAGCGCAGGTCTATCCTGTGAAGATGGCTCAGGCGATTGCAATGAAGTTTGCAGGGCATTGACTCTGAATTGTGTGAAAAAACAGTCGCGCGGAGTGCTGGCTCTATACATGTGCAACCACTTCTATTTCAGACGATTGTCATCCGTATTTACTTGTGAACCAGATAGGGCCCCACCTTGACACATGTGACGTAAAGAAACAACCTTGATGGGGACCCTTCTTTTCAACATTGTTTTT